GAAGGAGACTGTGCATAAACTCTGGTTTTCAGCTTGTCTCTGAAGTCAATGACAGCTCATAAGACACTGATCACAAAATTAACAACTGACCAGAAGGAAAACTGGAGAAACCCTGTTCCATTCTGAGGCACAATTTCCACTTTAATTTGTGCATATGAATGCACACACTGCAGTGTTATGCAAGGCATAGACTCTGTCCTCTTTGGAAGTTTTCTTTTACTAGCAATGACACCAAGAAAATAGTAATAAGGCACAAGCAGCCAGTGCAGACTTGGCTGGTGCTTGGTTTCTGGCTTGAGAAGCATCTGTAATTGCAAACAGATATCTGTAGAGTGACATCCTCTCTTACTGAATGCATAAATGTTGTGGGAGACTTAACAGAAAATGATAGCATGCTAAGAAAGATAAAGCTCTCTGATCAGTCTCTCAGATCTTAAAGATTTGTTGAGCAATAAACATATCTTACATACTTTTATTTTCTTTTTTCACTGTGTACTATTTCTAGCTACTTTGGGATTCTGCTAATCATTTTCTCTCAACTCCATTTTGTTTCACTTCATTTCTTTTCCAGAAGGTTCAAATAAAACCTAAGGTTGACAGACAAGAATTGCTCTGCTAAAATTAGTGAACTAAGTGCCATGTCCCATGAGTCACAGCACGCAACTCCCATCCAGCTCTCTTTAAAAGACCAGATAACAATGCCATGCCCTAAGTGCATGGGATCAAAGTACAAATACCCACTTGCCAAAACACAGCTTTGGAGTATTACACCTACTAGCAGAGTCCTGTGCTCTGTAACCAAAACATTGTTAAGTCAGCTGCATTAAAACCATCGATTTGAATATAATGCAAGCTGGTTTATATTTAACATAGTAACAAACACTGGAAAAATGAGAGGTGAGAAGGAATATGTTTAACTCTTCTTCTTCAAAATTACTGTATGTCAAATCAATAGTATCCTTAAGACAGTGAGCCCAGTTCTTTGCACACAAAAAATACAATTTCCACAAAAACGGTGAATAGGATATTACTGCTATTTTTGTTGGCATGTTTAAATTAATTTTTTAATGAGTAAGTGGATTTTGTATTTTAAATTTCAGTGTGTCTGGTGTTAAAATTATTTATTATGAATTAGTTTTATATGATAGTATAAGTGAAAGTTGTATGAAGACTCATAATCATGAATTCACAATGTTTTATTCTGCAATTATTTAATCCTGGAATTTAAAACTAAATACAGTGTAAAGTTACATGCAAAGATATCCTGAATGTTAGTAAGTACACCAATTATATTTTTAATACATTTCTAATTTTGAAATTACAAATACTACTGCCTTTTTATCAATAACATACTTTAAACTCAAACTTCATTTCTCTGTATTTTCATAACAGACACCTTTTGCATTCTAGTGAAGTGCAAAATGAGAGACTGGAAGAAAATAAAAACCAGTCTTTTTGTACATAAAATTCTCAATAGCTACACTTTGGATTTATCTGCATGGTACAGCCACAGGATCAAGCTCTGATGGGATATTACCAAAGCTGGCTAAAATTAGACACCATGAGCTTTAACTTGGGTTCATGGACATGTCAGTATGTATCAACACTGTGCCTGCTGTAGCCTGCCCACAGGACTAAAAGATCCTGGTCATTTCAGGGACAAAATAAGAGAAGAAATAAATATGAATGAAATCTTACTAAAATGCTAGGTTTACCCCTTTGTTTTCCCTATATAATCCAATATTCACAGCATGATAGAAATAAATCAAAACAGAGAGTTCAGGCTTTCTCAGATTACTAGATGGCAGACATTGGTTTAAAGAGATGATACAATTATGTTTAAATACTACAACTGAAAATGTGGTGAAAAAAATGGGCTCAATCCAGCCCAGGTGTTTCTGGGAGCTGCATGTGGAGAAGCCCTGGAAATCAGACAACCTCATGTGCCACAGGAGCTCACCTGTGCAGGCTTGAGGCCACAGTGTTTGTTGTACTGTACACAGCCACTCTGTGTCCATCGGTTACCTCCACTGCACCCAGGAATGAAGGGGTCTGTGTGGTTTCCACATTTGTTTTGCATTTCATATGCTCTCAGCAGTAACAAATAAAGAAATTCCTGAAAAATGGAGTCATTACGTCATCTTATAAACTACCTACTTTGCAGGCTGTACTCTCGCCACTAGAAGATTAAACCTTAGAACAATAACCCAATTATGAGCTAAATTTACATTCAACTGATGAAAAATGATCCAGAACCTGACAAGAATAATCTTTGTTCACAATGTTTAGCACAAGCAACACTGACAGCCTAAAATGTATGAGCTATATAAAAGATGACATATGCTGCACTGCCCAGCTACCAAGGGCACCATGCTCCAGGTACTACACACATAATGTGGGAGTGCTCACCACATCCTGAGACTAAACAAACCCAACAAAAACCAAGGCACAAAACCCTCGGCAGACAAAGAACATGATCCGACATTACCTCCTGAACAATCAGGGCAAGAAGGATGGCTAAACAAAGTCCTATTATATGGAAGGAAAACTGCTGCAATTAATAAAATCAGTGGTCAGGGTTTTAAACAAATTTATATATTTTCTGGATAAATATGAGAAAAAGAATTGCTCCAACAATTCTGATCTAACTTTTGAAAAAATATCCAAACTCTACTTCATTTAGGAAAATAAAATCTTGTGTGCATTTCGTCGGTAATTTTAAACAATTCCACATTTTACGAACCAAGTTCATCACTGGAGTGAGGCACATATACTTTGCCGATTAATTTTGTTTATAATTTTAGTTAACATTTGTAACAACCTGCATCACGGGTAAAAGACATCCTTTAGTGACACTTATGCTAATCTGGATCTAGCTAAAAAGTCATTTAAGAAATTTCCTGAAGACATCTTCATCATCACCTTGTCCCTTTTTCAGAACTTTTAGCCTGGACTGATTCCCACTGCCTGAAGTCTTCACACACTTCCAGAGATAAATGCTCTGAAAGACTGTGGAAGGCAGTTCCTATGAAAATTAGTTACAGGTATGTCCAGAATTTGTGAACTTTAGCTGCCTGAAATTGGATCCTCAATTTCAAAACATGTCTCCTAATTCTAAAATTCCCCCTCATTCTCAAACTGTGTGAAATGAAACAATTTGCTAGCTAACTAGATAAGGCAGGCATCTACAGAGACGTTTAAATGCCTAAAATTGAGAAAACATCATCAATGTTATCTTTTATCTATTTCCTCTTGAGGTATCTTATTCTAAGCCAGCAACTGCAGATGGCACAGTTCAGTGGTCCCCAGGCTGTGGTACACAACAGTCTAGATGGAGCCTGAGCCACTTAAAGGTGAGTTTGAGGCCAAATTCATGGTCCATCTGCTCAGGGAGCACCACACCACTAACAGCACCCAGTACGTTTTATTTATGTGCAGGCAGAAATACCAAGCACACTTCACAGCTTTTCACTGTCTCACTTGCTGCTGAGATGACCTTAGGCCAAAAAGCACGACCCAGGCTCTTCTGCTGCAGAAGCCTCAGGTCGTGCTGAACAGTCCCTTCTCCTCTCTGCTCCAAGGCAGGGAAACCAGGACACTTGAACAGCGGATGCCCACAGAATTCCTACTGCCTGCAAACAGTAAGGACACACAGCACACGAACTACCAGTCACACATCGTGTGCACAGCAATTCCAGCCATTGAATTCTTGTCACTCCAATAGTGCTCACTTCTTCCCTGTAAAGTTATGAAGCATTGCTCTGCCTCATACTACAGAAGGACTACGTCAAACTATTAAGAATTTTGGTTTCTGGCGAACAAACTCAATTAGTTTTTTTTACATTTATATTTAATAGTTGCCAACTGCTTGCTTAGATTTAAAAACCAAAACAAACACCTTCAGAGGTGAACTACCCGTAAAATTTTTGCTACAAAGCTTCAAACTGTTGAAGAGTATCTTCTACCACATCACCAAAGTTTTAAGACCCGCTCCCAACATCCACAGACTCCCAACTCCCCTTACAAAGTTGACTTCAACACAAGACAATTTCCATCACACTATCCAGTTCATGAGGTGGAGAGGAAGATCATTTTTCTCACTCAGACCTTTGCTACTGAACCCGATACCAAGCATTCGTTGCAGAGACCACCATCCATAGCACAACCAACAGAAGCATCAACACAGTCACTTTTTCCCCCACTCACTAAAACCAAACTCACCATCAGCAAGATAAAGTGCTCTCTGTTGAACTACTTACCCATGAACCATTCCCTTCCCTCCCTTCCCCATACAACTATCTGGTCAAAGCACAGAGGGTTTGTTTAGGCATGGAAAAGCTGGCATTTTAAGGCCATAAATCCACAGTGGAAATTAATTAATGCCATAAATCCCATAAAAGTGGAAATTATTTTGTGGGCACTTCCACTTTTATATAAAACATTAGTCAGCAAACATTTGACTTCCCTAAAGACTTTCTGTAGCACATTCAAGAGTGGTTGATAATTAAAAAAAAAAAAGTGGAGAGATGCCAGGTCCTTCATACTGAAGGATGAGGAACTCGAGCAAACCCAAAGGAGTGCAACCTGAACCACAAACTGGCATTTCCCCTCCCATTTTCCCTCTCCTCACACCTGCCTCAGCATTCACCCCTAAAGAATTAAACAATTTCCTACAAAAGAGAAATGGAAAAAAATCAGCGCTAAGTAGGACAAGAAAGCATTTTCCACTCTTTTTCTTTTGCACTGCAATAAGGTCTTCTTAAAACTACAACAAATAGAATTATTCCAACAATACAGAGACCATGCCAGATAATTCCAGGTTAAATTATAAAATCAAACAGCACCAAATTAAAGTTTTTTCACTCCTTTATCTCTTCACAAACCACCCCATCTCCAGCATCTGTAAAGTTCACAGAAGACCAAAAACAAATTCCCAAAGCCTGCTGGTTTCCGGATAAGCCCCAAAAAACACACAAAGTTTCCCAAATCCTTAACATGAGCATTTTATAGGGGGGCTGTTGTCTGGAAGACACAGAAGGTCAGGAAAGCGCACGGAAGCTCCCCATCATCCTTACCACGGGCACTCCCACACCTACACTTCCATCCTTTCCCCGAAAAAAAGAGACAGGCCTCTGAGCAGCCCCGAGGAAGGGGAGAAGGCGAACACCCCACAAAGTGCACCGAGGGCAGTTATCTGCAGACACGGCTTCGGGGGTGCACACACACAAAGATCCCCAGACCGCAAACAAAAGCGAGCCCGTCGCCAGTTCGCATTCCCCGAACCGCCGAGTCCGGCACAGCCCCGGGTGGGCCCCTCCCGGCGCTGCCCCGGAGGCCGCGGGGAGCCGGGGGGGCAGAGCGCAGAAATCGCCCTCTTTACTCCCCGGGCCCTGCCCCAGAGCACACGGGAGAGGCGAGGAAGCCCCCGGGGCTGTGCCGGGGGGCAAGGCGATGCCGGGCCCCGGTGCCCCGCCGGACGGCGAGGCCGTCCCGGCCGCGGGGGTGGCACCGCCTGCAGCCGCTGGCGGAGGAGGGCTGGGGCTTTGAGTTCACCATTTCCCCGTCCCCTCCCCTGCCCCCCGCGGGCACGACAGCCATGGCCCCTCGCCCGGCCTGCGGGAGCCCCGCCGTCTCTCTCCTGTGGAGCCTCGGCGCTGTCGAGCAGCTGCCATTACTCGGGCCAAGACCCGTCCTCCAAGCAGGCATCCCCCTCCCCAGCGAGGAAATGCGGCGGCGGCGGGGGTGTGTGAGCGAAAGGAAAGCGGGGGAGAGTGGGGAGCAAAGCGGTGGCCCCGCGTGCGGGATAGAGCGGGCCCGGGGGTTGACGGGGCTGAGGCCGGGCTGCACCACACCCTGCCCGGCCTCGCCTCTCACGCGAGTCCCCGGCTCCCCCGCGCCTTGCAGGCCCGCGCGGAGCGCTGGAAGCGGCGATTCTCTCCGGAGCGCCCCTCTCCCCACCCCACCTCCTCCCGCCCCGGCCCCGGGGCTGGCTGCAACTCGGCACGGGGGCGCGGGGGACCCGCCGCCGCCTCCCTGCCGAAATTCGACCGGGGAAGATGTGGGGACAAAAATAATCGCCGTTAATAATCACACGCGCTCCGCCGCCGTCCCCTTCTTCTCCTCGGTTTCCAAGCGGGCTGCCAGATAATCCTGCCCACTCCGAAAAATGAAATAATAATAATAATAAAAAAATCCCGCCTTCCATCTCCCCCCCGCAGCCCCACACATTTTATTATTAAGTATAATTGCTCCCCCCTCCTCATACGGCACCCCGCGGGGAAGGATTGCCCCCTCCCCTGGTGCCCAGCCCTTCCCCTGTCCCCTCTCCCCCATCTCCTTGGAACAGTGTGTACATGATTTTGTAGTTTTTTTAAGGCGCCATGTTTATAATCCTCCATCATATTAAAAAAAAAAAAAAAAATCCACCCAGCATGAGACACGGCGTCTCTCGCACCCCAAAGCCAGGGAGGCAGACACAGAAATATCCACAGGGCTGTAAATTCACCCCCCCCTCCCGCACACACACCCCTCCTCCCCAGACTTAAAAGTCTCTCTCACCTTGTGCTGCTGGCGCTGCTTCTGCTGCTGCAGGGGGGGAGAAGTTAAGCCAGGGGAAACTTTTCAATCCCTTCCCCAGGCCGCTGCTGCCTCCTCCTTCCACATATTTTTCCCCTCAGAGTTTTATTGTGTCTGAATTTTCTCTCTCTCTCTCTCCTCTTCTGTCTGTCCACAGTTCAGGTTTCTGGGGTAAACAGGGTTTAGGATGGTGCTAGGGATATTTGGGAGAAGGAGAACTCTAGTGGTCTCTGCTGGAGTTGCTGTTTGTTTCTTTTATTATTTTTTTTTAATAATACATTTGAAACGGATCTTTAACTATTTATTATGTATGTATTTTGTCATACTCTTAGGTCTGGACCCTTTCTTGTTGCAGAGGGAAAATATGGTGCTTATCCAGCCGTGCTACATGAAAATTTCTCCTATCATGAAGTCTAACTTGGAGAAATGACAGATAATGTTTTTGAAAGTAGACACTCACCTTGAGCAACAGAAACTAAAACACAGAGAATCAACGGTCTGTCTCAGAGCTGTCAGTACATCCTCAGCTGTAGATCACAGAAGAATAATTTAAATTGGAAGAGACCTTTTGATCACTGAGTCCAGCTGTTAGCCATACTTGCACTGCAGGGCAAGGAAATACATATTAATACAAAATACATAACTTGATAGGAACATATATATATGTATGTATGTATGTAGCAAGAAAACATAAATTTTCTATTTTTTAATGGACTGCGAGATAAATATTAATAAATGTCTATTGAAATATATCCTAAAGTTTCTGAAATTCTTCAGCAATTATTAAATGGGTAAGTAACACTTCACAATTAATTAACTTGACTAGAATTTTACTTTTATTAAAATAAACTGTAAGCTTAGTTCTATAAACATTATGCATGTTAAAAATTTAGTCATATGAGTAGTCATCAATATTACTGAAATAGCAGAAGGAAATAGTAGTGCTAATATTGAAAAAGAAGCATCCACTGTGCCATGTTGGTAAAAAATTAGTTTGCACACTGAAAAGTGGAAGTTTCTCCAGTATGTCCAGTAAATAAGATTTCTAGTAGTGTCTAAACCCAGTTTCTTTGAGACTGCTGCATCAGGACATTACATCCACTTCTAAAATTAAATGCAAATAATGGTTAGTTGCACAGCTGTGATAAAGTCTTACTTCTATTATGCATTTAAATATGAAAGAATATTTTACATTGTCTAAAATAAATAGGAAGGAAAGTGCTGGTAATCTGCTCTCAAAGAGTGCTTGAGGCATTGGGCAGATACCCAGTAGTGGCACAATAATTTATTAACTGCATTATATTGCTTGCATTAATAAAAAAGCAAATGAAATTTACAATAATTTTTTTAAGTAAAAAGGGATTTGCCATCAGTATAATTACAAATTGCCTTATATTAAGCATGTATTTGTGATGTTTGGCTGTCATTTCATTAAGGCATGTAATTTTCAAAAGAAGTTTGATAGAAATATATGCCAAGTTTCCATGGGATATTACTGGCTTGCCTGTCCTAGCTTTCTTTGAAACCTTCTCTGTTCAAATTGCATCTGAGCTATATTTATCTACAGGGGGGAAAAGAAGAATTCGGGGTCATTACAGTTTCTGCTGTTTCTACCATGCAGTAAAGCCAACAGCTCTGCTCAAGCTGACATGGTTAAGGTGCACTGACTTTTGCATCCAGAATCAGAGGACAAACATAGCCAGCAGTCACATAACCATTTTTAATTCTTCACCCCAAACCTGGGTTGGCTGGAGGGATTTGCCATAACTCCAAAACAAAGCTCCAAAGCCAGTCTCAGCTTCTCTAGTGAAAGATTTATTGCTCTGTCGTAGTGCCTTCTCCTTACCTATGTAAATATTTATTTAAGGCAGAAGTTCAGCTATCTTCAGTATAAAGAGGTTTTAGCCTCTTATCTCTCACAGGACCCATAGAGAGCTGTCAAATAAATACTTAGGCCACAGTTTCACCACCATGAAAGCACATGGAGGGCGGAAGCCTTACGGCTTGCCTACTGTACAGGTTTTTTACCTGGAGTCTACCACTTGCCAGCAATCTCCTGTACTTAACATTTTTATAAAGGCTAGTCTGGACCACCTCCAAATATTTGTTTCAGGGCACAAATATTTGATTTTAGAAAGAACAAGGTATCCTAAAGCAAACATGTAGGGAGTGTCTGCAACCATAGCCACGTTACCTTCTCTGAGCTGGGGGGCAATGAATTAGATCCAGTGTAGAAAGACAGGCACAGAGCTTATAAATGGGTGTTCATGGGCCTGCTTTTGGGGTGTTTTGATATCCTCATTAGGCTCCCTGAGTAGCTGTTTGCATTATACAGCCTTTAGGATGGACATTGAAGGATTAAAAGGAAGCATTTTTGTCTCGTTTTGACTTATTTTTATGTGTATTGTGAAGACTTTTTAATGCTTGTCAGTGCAGAGCTTTGAAGCCCGGCTAGCCGGGCTGGGCTAGCCCGACTCCCGCGTTTACCGCAGCAGCTGGGTGTCTAACAGGAGCCCTGCGGCGGGTCCCTCCCGGCCATTCACTTTCACTGGAGCGGGGTCCGGGAGCGCCGAGCCCGGCAGACAATGGGAAGGAAATCCCCCTCCCCCAGCCCCGGCCGCGGCGGGTTTCTTCATCGGCACGGGGAAATGTTTGTACCAACAAAAAGCGGGCTCGGGGCCGTCCGCAGCCCCCCTTCCCGGGGCGAGGGCGGGGGGCGGTGCGAGGCCGCAGGGCCGCATTTCCTCCCGCCCGGCCGGGAAGGGCCCGGGCAAGGGCGAGCAGGAGCCGCGGCTCTGGGGCAGGACCGGCACCTCTCGGGCTGCAGTGGCTCGGTTGGGGAAGGGATTTGCTGGTCCTAAAGGTTCATGGTGAGGGCTCAAGACGCCTGCTTGCTTACGTGGTTGCGGGGAGAGAAAACGCACCACTGCGTCAGTGTTAGAAAGAGAACATGATAAAGTTACTTCCTTCCGAATAGAAAGTACTTGCCATAGGAATACGCCGATCTGCATTTGTGCTCTGTGATTTTGCCGGCAGTGCTGCACTGGTGTGTAAACAGGGGATTTGTAGGCACCCCTTCCCTTGGAAAGGGACTTGGAGGAGGGAGAAGAAGCTGAATAAACAAAAAGCACAGAATTAGCATCATCCAGACCAAGAATGTAATCTACTGCCATGAATTAAAGGGAATGTCAGGCAGGTTCATGGGAAAGAAATCCTTTGCAGGTTGTAGACACACAAACCATGACTTGAGAAATCCCTGAGCTGATCATCGTTGGAGGCTGGGACATGAATACCCTCTGTCCTGCTGTTACATGTTCCCCCAGGTATGTCTACTGCATTTTCCAGGCATGAGAAGACCAACACTGCCTAGTGTCAAGCAGACTGGTAAATACGCCTCCATGGTCCTTTTAAATGCTACTTTTCCCATCCTCTTCAAAAGATCATTCTTTTTTCGGTTCTAATACTGGAGAACACAATCCTGTGTGTATATGGCTTTTTATTCTAACCACGATCTTCTGCCATTCTCTTGCTTCAGTGGTACAACCATCAAACCTGTAGGTGAAGAAGTACATCAGTGCTGTGGGTTCCAGGTACTGGGCTTGGTATAATGAAATCGTCCATTGAATGCTGCCCTTTGGAGAGCAGGGAGTGTTGTGTCCTCTCCATCGCAGCACTTGTGCTAGGCTAATGAATGCACATCCCTGCCTTATCCAGGACTTTCTACCGTCTTTCTGGCTGAACCAAACCCACCCACTATAAGCTCAAGTCTTTATCTGGCTTTGTAAGATAGCTGTCTCGCTGGGGATGCCAACCCACTTCACTGTGTACTCCACTCCCAGCTGCACTGAAACAAAAATTATTTGAACGTGTTTTCTAGGAGGCAGGTCTGCTGTGTTGTGATCACAGAAGTATTAATGCAGAAAATTAGTGTAAATTTTTCATCAGAATGAAGTTTAGCAACACAGTTTTCTTTGCAGTAAAAATCTCAGCAAGGCATTTAATTTAGGAAGCTGGGGGAAGGGAACAAAGACTTAATAACAACAAGCTCAGGAAATCCATGGAGCTGAAAACAGTTGGAGGATGGGAGAGTCTTAAGGAGAAGGTTATGCTCTTCCTTTTTTCCCCAGGCATTGTAAAGAAAATACCAGGCTCAAGAGGGGGACATAGAGCAGAGAACCCCCAATGTCTGCTGCTCCATGAAGCTGTCTGAGGAATGAGTTCAAGTTACCCGGAGATGCTGTCCTTGCAGATGACATGATGAGAGTTGAAATAGACCCTACAGCAGCCAGGATCCTTCCTTCCATTTCAGCTTCCCTCTCCTTGTGTCCCTAGCCATGCACACCTGGCTGTGTAGTGCAGGCTACCCACAGTGCTCAGAGGAACTTGTACAGGCAGAATTTCTAAAGACATTCTGGAGTATTTGTTGAAAACAGTACATTGTGGGGAGGTAGATCTTTGATTTGATACCCTATGGCCAGTACTTGTGTGTGTGAATTCCTTGTGGATATAGCTGGTAATAAAAAAAAAATCCACTCAGAGCTAAGTCTAGCAAGTATAGATGTAGACTAAGATACAAAAATGCACCTTTTTTTTTTCTTCAGTGTGTTGTCTCTTTACATTTTCATGCACAACTGGGAATAGAGGTTTATCCTAAAAAGTTTACCTGTGAGTAAACTGACATATGTTTATGACATATGACATGACATGTGTTTACACCAGCATTATGGTTCATGAAAAGTGTATGCCTGATTCAGCACAGAGTCTGCCAAAGGAAACGTAGCTCCATATTTTCTAACTAATTCTAAACAACAGAGCAAGAATTTGCACCAGTTGCATACTTTCTGAAAAAAACCCTTTAATGTTCATTTTCAAATATACATCAAATTTATCTCACATTGGTCTGTGTTGGTGTAATATAGGAAATAATTTATATCTATGTAGAACAAATGCTCAAAACTTACATTTGATTTTAGACTGAAATAGCATCTATTTTTACTTTATGAGCATTCTGTGACTGGAGAAACATCATTTGCCAGAAAACCTGCTGGGACCATGAGGAAATAAGTAGTACCTTTTGTTATTAAATAGCTATAGAACTAGAACTTTTATATGGATACACAATGAATGCCATAATTTTGGGGAAATAATAATTACACTGCACATCGTATTAAATGCCAGCATAGAAAATAATAAGAAAAAAAAAATCCTGTGTTTAAAGTAAGGGGAGTCTATCCTTCCAAGGCAGGGGACATAGATGGATAAGGGAGGTGCATGTATTAGAAGCATGCAAAGATGTTCAAGTACCTTTAAAAACAAGTTAGCTCATGACAAGCCAGTTTGGTCCAGCACTGCCTTTTTGCTAATTAGTTTAGAAATACTCAGTCTCTGCCCTTTGTGTCAAAGCCTTCCATGTTCAAATGTGTCTTGTTAACTGCAAGGAAGTGCTGGAACCGGGCTGGTTCCGTGCATTCATGAGGCACTTCTCTGGGCTTAGCAAACCCTTCAGCATACAGACTTCTGTCCCTGTATGGAGCAGAGACATCCAGATGTTTCTGAAAGAGAGAACGCGTTATCATTAGTACTTAACTGAAGCTAGTTGATCTTCAATTGTGGCTCTGTACAGCTTTTTCCCAAGCTCTAGTTTCCAGG